TGGGAATCTTTCCGATCAGTATGGCCGCAAATCTCTCCTCACTTTACCCTTGACTTTGTCCATAATCCCCTTCGGTAAGTGTATATATATATTATCAGAATTGTGTTGAATACGGATACTTTGAGTTATATACATGGATTGTCTTGTTGCAGCTGTATTGGCATGCAGCAGAACAACCAGTTACTTTTATGTGTATTACGTGCTCAAGACACTCACTGCCATGATCACTGAAAACGGCACCCAGTGCCTTGCCCTTGCTTATCTGGTACCCATCCCTAAATCACAAGCTTCATATTTTGTTTATATAAAGCTCAAGTTGTTGTGGTGTTTACTTTGCAATTGCAGGCGGACACTATACCAGATAGCCAAAGGACATCTGCATTTGGGATCCTCACAGGTACTTCCTCTGCTGCATTTGTATGTGCAAGCTTTGCGGCTCGTTTGCTCTCCCCTGGCTCCGCATTTCTGGTCGCTACGGTTGTATCGATGGTCGCGGTAATCTACATGAGAGTATTCCTCGAGGAAAGTATACCGATGGAGATGACAGTATGAGTATGACACAACCGATCTTGAAAGAAGGCGAAGGCATCGATGCTTGTCTAGGAAGAAGCCTGTGTTCAAGAAAATCCCATCCCTCGGGACATTATTTGTTTTCTCAAGAGCAGGTATTGCTATGCTATACATACATACATATATTTGGTTTATCGATATGGCTGATGAAGTTGTAATTTCAGTCCATCATTTACCCGAGCAGCAGCTGTTGCTTTCTTCTATAATCTTGCAGAGGGTGTGTTGCCAACTTCGACATTGGTATGCTTTTTTTCATTTCCAAATGTGAAAATAATGATCACTTTTACCATAGTTTTATAGTCTCTTATTATAGTTCAAACCCTGCAGTACTTTTTGAAGGCTCGTTTCCACTTTAACAAGAACCAGTTTGCTGATTTGAGTGCAATTTTTGGAATTATAGGGACCGTTTCGCAGGTATGAAAACACCGTCGATACATTTCTCGTACCTATTCCGATTCGTTCGTCAATCTAGAAACGGTGAAACATGGTTATTCCCTATATGTTTCTGAATCATATTCCTGCAGCTGTTTATCATGCCCTTGTTGGTATCTCGCATAGGAGATGGAATGTTGCTTTCAATAGGACTCTTGGCTTCAGTTATACATGTGAGTTGTATTTCTCAACTTATGCTGATCACATTGTACCCATGCTTGGAAGACAAGTTACCGATGAATTTTTTTACCTGCTTTTATTTTTGCAGGCCATTCTTCACGGCTTGGCCTGGTCACCTTGGGTAATTTCCTCATGTTTCTTTCATACTGTCACGATTCCGTGATAACCGCTTACCCGTATTTATAAACTAACTCTTTCCTTCAAACGATTCGGTGTTTTCCTGCAGGTTCCATATGCAAGTACTGCGTTCGTTGCGGTCATGGTCTTTGTACTACCATCTGTAAGTTGTTTCTTTTGATGCCATCTCATGGTGAGCTTTGCTCTATTACCAGAAAGACTTCGACTAATTACGAATTATACAGTTACGCAGCATTGTTTCGAAACAAGTTGGTGCCACGGAGCAGGGGAAGGCTCAAGGATGCATCTCAGGAGTGAGTTCATTGGCCAACATCATTGCTCCACTGATCTTTAGTCCTCTCACAGGTTTGTGAAGTTTGGTGTTTTCTAATAAATTACTTTCTTTTTTTAACTGTTGAAGGCCAAATAAACACCGACTTGTTCTGTTATGCAGCATTATTCCTATCTGAAGAGGCACCATTTCATTTCCCTGGCTTTAGTATCTTCTGCATTTCTATCACAATAGTATGAACTTCTTACTTGGGATAAAAGCAACCATCTTTTTTTACAGTTTCCGATCCGGTCTTGTGAAACTAAACCGATTCTTTCCGGCTTTTATGGCACAGGCGATCGCCTTCGTCTTGAGCTTGACGATAGGGAATGCTCCTTTAGATTCGAGTGAAAACAGCAGCGAGGTGCATGGGGTTTAGACAGAAGCGTGTGAAAAATGATGTATGTATGTCTAGTAAAATTATAGTCTAGGACAACGCCTCTTGAGTACATTATTTTATGTTATGTGCTGTTAAAATTAATGTTGTTTTGTTTACGTCATGTGCTGTTAAAATTTAGTGTAAATTATATAGACGTTAGGATATTATTTTGTTGAATATTTTGATTATTAATAGTTACAAAATAATCATCTGACTATATAACGTTGTTTTTGTTGAATCTTTCGACTATTAAAGGTTACAAAATGTCACTCGGCTATTCATATATTCTAAACTCATCATTTTTTATTAAAATTTTGACGATAATTTGAGTTAACATTAACATGTTGACTGTAATATAATAAAATTTGATCGCAAAATCTTAAACGACTATTATCTATCAATCAATATGTTAATTTATAGCTTAAAAGATCATCAATTTTTAACGAAAAATGATGAGTTTGGAACATATGCATAGTCGAGTAATTATATTGTAACTTTAATAGTCGTAGGATTCAACAAAGCAACATCTTATAGTCGGTGAACTAATTTGTAAGTTTTAATAGTTAAAGGATTTAACAAAACATCATCTTATAGTTAAGGGATTATTTGAGTATTTAACCCTAAAATTTAACTAATTATATAATCGAAATTGAAATTAATATTATAATTGAACAAACTTAAAATTTTATTTTTGTAAACGATAGAATAGTAGAATTTACCTTTTTTTCATAAAGAAAAACACTTTTGGTTTAAAAACTTTTATGAGCATATCATGTAAAGTTCGAACTCAACTCAATAAGTTTACGAGTAATTATTTAATTTTTTTATATAATTCTTTATAGTTATTTTAAAAAAATATTTCGTTAAAATATAACTAATTTAAATAAATAATTAAAAAGATGATAAGGTATCAATCTATTAATTTTCTAATAAACAATAAAAAATATTAAATTATTAATTAATATTTTTTATTATAAAAAATCAAACCTTATTTATTATTTTAAACTATTTGTGAATTGTTACCATGAAGTTTATACTTTGAAATTGTTTTATACGCTCCTTTCATATTTTTTCGATTAAATTTATTAATTTATATTTATATAAATATATATATTATTAAATTTTATATATGATTAAGAAAATAAGATAAAAGTTTTGATGGATTTAACGAGTAACGAGGCCAACAATGAATATCGTGCTTACGAGCAATGAGTTTAACAAGTAATGATTTGAACAATATGTTTTTTTAACAAATATGAATCGAACAAAATTTTAATAAACATAACTAACATCAGATTGAGTAACAAATTTTTTTTAACGAGTAAGAGACCGTTAATTGAAATCCAAGAAATGCTTCAACAGGTATAATCGGATGCTTTGGAGTTTAGTGATTTTTGACACGTAGTGTTTTCAACGGTCAGATTTTGCTACAAAGAAGGAAGCTTTCAACGACAAGGAACTCGAGAGGATCAGATGATAGCAGTAAGCTTAACGTTAAGTATTCCCCCGCCATGGAACCACCACCGCCTCCGGCCAACGCCACCGTTAATCAAATGTGAGAGCGGGGGAGTGCCACTACCAAAGCAAGGTCACCGCTTCCTCTCTTCATTAGCGTCCACGGCCGACGTCGACGACCCAATAACCACTAACCGGTTGATAAAGAAATTCGTAGCATCATCGCCAAAGTCCATTGCTTTGAACGCGCTGTCTCATCTTCTCTCTCCCCGCAATTGTCACCCTCACCTCTCCGACCTCGCGTTTCCCGTAAGTTCCCTTGCTTTGAACGCTCCTCCACGACAGCAAAAACCACTTTTTCCCCTTAATTCTGACACGGGGTCGTGTTTTTTTAACAGTTGTATACTAGGATAACTGAAACATCATGGTACCTTTGGAACCCAAAGTTAGTTGCAGAGTTAATTCCTCTGCTGTATATACAAGGTAAGCACGATGAATCCGAGGCTTTAATCTCTCAAGCCGTTTCGAAGCTAAAGTCTCGAGAGCGAGATCTTGTTCAATTCTATTGCAATTTGATCGAATCTTGTTCTAAACATGAATCAAAGCAAGGGTTTAATGAAGCTTACTGTTACTTGTCTGAACTTGTTCGTAATTCTTCATCGGTGTATGTCAAACGCCAAGGTTATAAATCAATGGTTAGTAGTTTATGTGAAATGGGTCAGCCTGATGAGGCTGAGAATGTGGTTGAAGATATGAGAAAAAATGGGGTTAAACCTTCATTGTTCGAGTTTAGGTTTGTTTTGTATGGGTATGGGAAAATGGGATGTTTTTGAAGATATGGAGAGAATGGCGAACAAGATGGAGAAGGAAGGGTTGAAGTGGATACTATTTGCTCGAATATGGTTCTTTCGTCTTACGGGGCTTATACGAAACTTTCCGAGATAGTTCATTGGCTGCAAAAAATGAAAGCTTTGGGAATTCCTTTCTCAGTAAGGACTTGCAATTCTGTCTTGAATTCATGTCCTGTGATCATGTCTTTGGTTCGAGGCTAGGGTAGATTTCCGGTTTTGCTCGCGGAGCTGGTTGAGATTTTCGGGTAAAGGAATTGGTTGAATCTTCTTCAGTATTGGATGAGGTAATGGAATGGACTGATTTGGAGCTAAAACTAGACTTACATGGTATGCATCTCGGTTCGGCTTATGTGATAATGTTGCTGTGGATTGAGGAGATGAAACGCAGGTTTAAAGTCGAAGAATGCGTGATTCCTGCACAAATTACTATTGTTTGTGGATCTGGAAAGCACAGCAGTGTTAGGGGAGAATCACCTGTGAAAATTTTGATCAAAGAGATGATGATTCGAATGAAGAGTCCAATGAAAATTGATTGGAAGAACATCGGTTGTTTTATAGCCAAAGGACAAGTTGTGAAGAATTGGTTATCCCAGCTGATGTAGGAGATCAGGTTTCGGTTAATATTTGATGGAATCAAGATCAGTAAGTTCCTCGGATTGAATCAATAACATCTGCAATTTTCTTATTTTGTTTGCTTTTATTTTGTTTGATCTTTGCTGAAACTAGTTCGAGTTAGTTTGTATTGCTCTTGGGTTTTCATATCAAATAACACGAATTTCAGCGCGAGTTAGTCTACCGAACTCATCATAGTCATGCATGTGTGAACCATCGAACTCGGTCCTCGGGTCAGTCTCTAGTTACTCACCATTGGAAGAAATATGCAAGAAAATACAATACTAGATTTAGCCCATACCTCTTAACCTGTCAAACACCCAATGAAACTAACTTCTTTTTCGGCTGTTCATATAATCTGTGTTACGAGAGCATTTTCCGAAACTCTTTTTGCGCTGAGGTCACCTGTATAGACCACACTTCTCAAACTCGGCGCATATGGTGTTTCGTGTTTCCATTCAGGTTCTTCCTCAGAACCATTTCTCTTCAAAGAGGAAGCTGCCCTTCCTGGACTTCCGGAAAGTGGAGTTGAAGAACAAAAGGTTGGTGTCGCAAAAGGAGAGGCATTAGGGGTGTGCTGAACTGAGAAGGGGCTGGGAGACATTTGCCTCTGGATCGGACGACTTCTCAAGCCGCTCCTGCTGAAAAGGGAATTCGATTCTGCTGCAGCACAGTGCTTGATAGCATCATCAACATATAAGACATCATCTATCCTCGCCATAATGTTGAAGGCCAAACTCTCCAGCACCCTTGAGTAGCTTTCTAGAATTGACTGGCCAACGTCCTGCAATTAAAACAACGAGGTCGACTCAAACCTCAAATCTAGCGACAGTGGAAACGAGATAAACGTTATTTGTATATTCACTCAATATAGGCCCCATTATCCCCCATGAAAATGCTGTGCTCCCAAGATCATGGATGGTACACATTGGTAAAAGATACAAGGAAGCAGCATTAAGTTGGTCCTATCCTTCCTAAGGTGCTACCAGATCCCATTTATTAGGCCACATGGTTAGGCAGACAGGTCAGAATATTTCTCCGATGACGTTCAAAAACTAGAAATGCCGGTTCAAAATACCTTATTATATTGAATTTTGTTCATATCCAATGCTGTCTGTGGAAGACCAGGAAACCGAACCCTCAAGCTCTGTAAGAGGGTCTCGGCTCTTCGAGATAGAAAGTTGTTCTTTTCACTGTCGGACATAAGGCTTCTGACCTTTCCTCCCCATGAAGAGTGCTTACCTTTCATGCGATTCATGTGTTTCCTCTGGTCTCTCTGCTTCCAAACATGTACTGCTGCCTCGATCCTGTTCACTATTTCCAGAGCATGATGTTCCGTTGACAGATCAAGGCAACCGGGGAGACATTCAGGCGAGAAACAATCCGCTGTTATGTAGCGGTAGATAATATCTCCCAGACAAGATTTTCCATTCTGATGACAAGGAAAATGTGTTAATCCTTCAAGCAAATGTAAGAAAAAGTAGGCCAAAGTGACAAGGAAAATATGTTAACCTTTGGTAATGTTTCCAAGTAAGCAGTAGGTATCTCCATCTCGGCGAGCACGCTGTTATTAATCGCCATGGCTGCCTTCAGTATTTGATTTGTGCTATCCCTACATTGTTGCAACTTCTTCCTCGCGTCCTCCGACAAACCATTAGGCGGCACTTTCGGACATGGCAACCACCACTTCTCTTCCTGCCTAATCGAGGGCCTCCCTCCAGAAACAGATGAAGAATAAGCAACACAGTCCCCACCGTCGCCCACAACTATCCCACGATCAACATACCAAAACTCCGTCTCACAAAACCCGTCGAGCATGGTGACCAAAATCTCATCGAGCTTCTTGACGGCGGGGAGGTTTATATACAGATCCGACCTTGGCCTTGGCACCATGACTTCATAAGTGCCTCCTCCGGGGAAATTTTGAATCGATGGTACAAGTTCAACGATCGAATCGCTCACGCACAAGAGCCACTCCATTTCCCTCCTCCACATGGCCTTCTTCGGCGGTGCTAACGGCTTTAATCTCCACAACTCGCCAAACACGGTAGCTGACATTACAAAGAAGAGAAGCCGTTTACATATTTACATACTATAAGGAATTGTAAGAAAAATCGAACTAACCGGAGAGATTCGTGATTGCATTTGAAATGGCGAGTGCAGTACACACTCCTTTCCCACCTCCCGACATGTCTTCTCCTAAAAGAAGCTTAGCAAATCTCTCCTTCATCATCTCAATTCCTATATAACATTGAATACGGTACAAAACCCAGATGAATGCTTAATTATCCAAAACCCAGAATCAGCACATAATAGGAACAAAAAGCAGTGAAAGGTGCAATCTTTTATTCTACTTTTAATAGGGGGAAATGCAGAATGAAAGAAGAAACCGGAAATACCGGACAAATCGGCGTGATGCTTCTCAATCTTCTCATCATCGTCCCAAATCACGACATCCCTCCCGCCAATCACCGGCACCTGAAAGCCGAACCCTCCGGCAGCCATTAACCTCGGGGATGACGTCATCGAACTCGAACAACCTTCTCCGTCGGGACGCCGACACGAGAAGCTACTGCAACTCTCGGACTCGCTGACGTCGGCGCTCATACTGTAGATCCCGCACCGCTCGCTCTGCTGACCGGATCCGTCGTCGGAATATTCACTTGCCATGATGTTTAACAGAATGAACCGGCTTTGAAAAGAAAGAAAGAAAAAAAACCCTTAGCCGCACATTTGCTAAGAAAGAAGGAGAAATGTTGGGTTTTTACTCTTTACCAGTTGTGGCAGTGAAGAAGAAGAAATCAGATAAGCCCGTGGTGAGTCGATGACATGGCGCCAATTTTGTTTGCGTGTGAAAGGGACCAAACGGCCGCTAACTCTCTTGCCGGGGAACGTGAAGGGTTAGGGAGCGGACGTTTGTACTTGCAATGATATGTGCTCTCATCCATAAGCGTCGATCGATTAAAGGAATTAACTGGACTTAAAGATTGGGTAAACTAAACAATTAATATCTAAACTATCAATTTTAATCCGTTTTAGTACTTAAACATTTAATTTTTTTAAAATCATATCTAATATTTAATTTTTATTTTATTTTAGTACCTGTTATTAAAATCATGTTTAGTACTTAAACTATCAGTTTTGATTCATTTTAGTATATAAATTTTCAAGTACTAAAATAAAACAAAAGCTAAATTTTTAATGGCGATATATTAAAATAAAATAAAAATTAAATTTTAGATATAATTTTTTAAAAAAAATTAAATATTAAAACGGATCTAATTTAAATAATAAACACGTAGTTTACATTTAAAGATTCCATCTTGGTCTATTTAATATGGAATCTGAACCGCTAAAAGTAGTGAGAGTTGTAAATTATTATTTAACGGTTGGGATGCGGGGAATGGAAAAGAATCTTTAGTTGCTTAAAGGCTGACATCGTGCAGAAGATACATACCACAATCGATGTGGGATATGGCTGACGTCTCATATATGAACACAAATTAGTATGATTAATAACATAGGTGTAATATCAATTTGGTTTATTTAAGTGATAAATATTTTTGTTATTATTTAAGTAAGTTGTGAGTTCGAGTTTTTTTGTATATAAAAAATCTTCGTTAATAAAATCACTCATCAAAATTTGATGTACAACATAAATTGATTTAAATTAATCAAAATAAAATCTTGAGATAAAAAAAATTAACATAAGATGAAATTACATGTCTCTTAGGGATCGGATACCTCATTTATAACTATTTAATTACTGGACGTAATAATAATAACGAGAACACATATAATTTATAGATGTGGAGTTTGATTCACGTGATCGAGAATTTAAGATGAGGCGTAGAGAAACATCATAGGTCGGCTGGTCGGATACTACACATTTCGAATATGAAAGGTAAAGACATTTATGAAACTATATCGATGTGATGTATTGATGATTGAAAAAAAAAGGTTTAAATATATAAAATGTGTTTAATTTATGTTATTTTTTTAATTTAGTGTCTAATGTTTATTTTGTTCTAGTTGGATGTTTAACGTTTTATTTTGTGATTCAAAATGAATCCAATTATGACGGACCGTTAAGTTTAATCTAGTGATAATAATTATCTCTTTAACCACTGAGATAATTTTAATAGATAAAAGTTTTAAAATGGTTGATATGCGTTGAAATATATAGATTCAAACATTAAAAATAAATTTTTACATTCAGAATTTACAGAAATTAAAAATATTAGATTTATTGATACTATTTTTATTATTATTATGAGGTAAATACGAGATTTATCCATACTATGACATGCAATGAAACAAGACAATTATGATACATTAACTCATGAAGGCTCAAAGACCATTGGATTAAGATACATTACGGTAAGTCCACCACACGTTTTTAAGCCCAAACATGTCTTCATTTCACTGTATTTAGAAAACTAAAAAACTAATTAAACAATAAAATATAGAAAGACGGACATTAAATAATTATTATTAACGATATAAATGATAATTATATTATTATTTTGTGTTACAAAGTTTTTACCTTAATCCGAATTTAAGTCGATCTTATTAATTATAAAATTTATTTTAATTTTTTTTTGAATAATATCGGGAAAGAGAATTTTACTTCTAATAAGTGTTGAACTCACAACTTAAAAAATACACGAGTTAAAAAATAGTCACTCGAATATTAAAAGTCTCTCGACTATAGGGTAATACTTTATTAAGTCTCTCAATTATTAAAAGTTATAAAATAGTCATTCAATTATAGAATGTTGCTTTATTAAGTCACTCAACTATTAAAGTTACAATATGACCACTCGACGATTTATTATGTTTCAAACATGTCCTTTTTCGTTAAAAATTGACAGTTGTCAAAGCTGGACGTTAACATGATAAGTGAGATAGAATATGTGTTTGAGATTCTAGGATCATATTTTATCATATCACAGTCAGTAGGTTGACATTCAGTTGAGAATATCATCAATTTTTTAACAGAAAATGATGAATTTAAAATATAATGAATAGTTAGGTGATTATTTTATAACTTATAATAATAAGAGACTCAACAAAATACCACTATATAGTTAAAGTACCATTTTATAACTTTTGTCTCCCAATTTCTTCTCTTATTTTCCTCCAAGGTGATTTATTTATATTTTATATATAATTTTAGTCTGAAAAGGCAAATAAATAAGAAAAAATTAGGTGGTTGTTTGACAAAGGCTTATCTTTATCCACTCACATCTTTGCAGCTGTCATGGTTAGAGCAACGTATTAAAACGACCACTTCAAAAAAAACGAAAGAAAACATATGATTTTACCACACAAAATGGCATCCCTAAAAATAGGAAAAATCGTTTCTCTCTCTCGATAGATGGTCTATTATGCTTGGGTTTTAGGGTTTCTTTCCTGGTTCTTGCTGATTTGGACTGTGCGTTTGGCTCGCGATGTATTCCTGGTGACTGTTTGAGCTATGGATTGGCAGAGGTTATTCGCGGGTGCTGAGGAACAGTCGCTAGATTTCTTTCCCCCGGAGTGTCATGAGGGTTCCTTGACGGTGGTTCATCCGAAGACGGTGTTTGAGGAAGGGGTTTCAGAGTGGAAGTTCTCATTAGTGGGACAATTTATTGGATCGGCGCCCAATTTTGGTTCCTTGCAGAAGCTGGTGGAAATAGTGTGGGGGAAATTAACAACTAAGGTGAGCATTGCTGGTTCTAATCTTTACGTTTTCTCCTTTTTAAATGGTGCTAGTCGAGACTGGGTCCTTGAGAATAGTCCCTGGCACTTCCAGCACAAGTCGTTGGTGTTGAGAAAGTGGGAACCTAACCTGAAGTGTCTCGATTTTAATCTGGAAAGGATGCCTGTGTGGATTCAGCTTTTCAATGTTCCATTAGAGCTGTTTTCCAGAAAAGGGATTAGTTATATTGCTAGTGCCCTTGGTGTTCCTTTGTACATGGACTCAGTTACAGCTTCTAAGGAATGGTTGGAATTTGCCAATGTCTGTGTTGAAGTTGAGGCTGGTGCTCGGTTGCCTCAGTTAATTGAAGTTAAGCTGCAAGATGGAACAGTTTGCACTGTGAAGGTGGTCATTCCCTGGTTCCCTACAAGCTGTTCAAAATGTAGGATATTCGGGCATTCGGATAAGACTTGCAATGCTGGTGGTGGTGAAGGAAAGAGGGAATTAAGAGTTAAGGATAAGGCATCTGGAACTAGTTTGGGCGGTTTGATTCGAGAGAAAGAGGGAATTGATATGGGATTGCCAGTGGTTGAGGTTGAGGAACAAGCTCTGAATGTTGGGCAAAGCTCTGTTGTTGTTGTGAATAATGTGGAGCTGAGTATTGTAGAGGATAAGGCTAATGGCTCTGTGAATTCTAAGGCTAATGCTTCTTTGCCTCCTAACCCTGCATCACATCTGAATGCTGATAAAATGGTGGATAATATAGGGGTTAGTGAGGTGTCCATTAAGGAACAGCCAGCTGTTGGGTTGAATTTAAAAATGGGGAGTACTGAGGATAAGGCTGGTAGTAGTATGCTCTCTAAAGTTGACATTTCATTGCCTCTTGATAGAAGAGGTAAGGGCAAAAAAGGTGAGAAAGTAAATGGATCATCTGGTATTGGTTCTGTCAATAAGTTTGAGGTCTTGGGGTCTATATTGGAAGAGGTTGAGGGCGTGGGGAGGAAGCCTAGGCTTGCTTCTCAGGGTGTAGCAAACATATTGCTAAAAATGAAAACCAAAAAGAAAGACTCCTTGGATAAAATCAAGAGGACTGGTGAGCAAGTGAGAGGTGTAGTAAATCTTTCTGTCTCATGACTGTGATTTTCTGGAATGTAAGGGGATTTAACCATCCCAAAAAGCAAAAAAATGTTATGGATCGTGTAGAGAAGTTGCAAGTGGAAATTCTCTGTTTGTTTGAAACCAGAATAAGGGAGAATAAAGCTCAAGACGTCATTGCACAGTTTACTTCTAATTGGAACTACTGTTGGAATTATAATTGCATGATAATAGCAGGATATGGATTCTTTGGAAGAAGAATCTACAATTTTCTGTTTTGAAAGTGGCTGATCAATCTATTACAATTCAAGGTAATTTGGGTGGCAGAAATGTCTATATTTCTGCTGTGTATGGCAGTAATAGTGGAGCTATAAGGAAAGAACTGTGGAATCAGCTTTATGAGGTTAATGATTTGGTAGGTAGTAATATTTGGATTGTTGAGGGAGATTTTAATGTTACTGCTGAAGCTTTGGAAAGTTCTAGCTTTGAGGATGGGCACCTATCCTCATATATGGAGGACTTACAAAATTGTATGACTAATTTGAGGTTAGTGGACCACCCTTTCTTTGAACCTGTCTTTACCTGGTCAAATAAGCATGGAGTGGGGTTTCTGGCTAGGAAACTGGATAGAGTGTTAGTGAATGATCATTGGTGTGAGGGCTTCTCTAACTCCCATGTGGAATTTCAAGCCCCTGGAGTTTCTGATCATAGCTTGGCTGTCACTTGGTACTCTCATGAGAGCCTTGCTTCAAGGCCTAAGCCTTTTAAGTATTTCAACTTTTGGGCATTACATCCTGACTTCAAGGAGGTTGTTGGGAAGTCTTGGGTTGAGGTTGTGCAGGGTGACCCTATGCAAGCTTTATTTTGCAAAATGAAGAGGTTGAAGGTTGAGTTTAGAGCTTTCAATAAAAGGTGTTATTCTAACATCTCTGGGAAAGTTGCTGAGAAGAGAGAACAGTTAGAGAGAAAACAGATTATGACTTTAACTGGTGGAAACCCAGGTGATTTGGCTGAAGAGAGGCAAATATACTTTGAGCTCATGGATTTAGAAAAAGCAGAAAGACTATTTTACCAACAGAAAGAAAAAGTTGATTGGCTGCTTGATGGAGACCAATGCACTAAATTTTTCCACTCCCAAGTTGCAGTTAAAAGGAAAAGGAATACTATAAGAGTGTTGATTGATGAGAGGGGTAATAAGCTGGATACCTTTGATTCAATGGCTGATGAATTAGTGAATTACTTCACAAGGCAGATTGGCACTGTGAATGGTAATGTGCAAGGGTGCTTTGACCTATTCCTGAGAGACTTGTTGGGCTATGCCTTGCCAGCAAATGCAAAGGTTGATCTGGTTAAGGTTGTCACAAGTGATGAAATCAGGGTGGCCATTTGAAGTTAAGGCAAGGATAAGGCCCCGGGCCCTGATGGGTACACAGCTGGGTTTTTTCAATCTGCCTGGGACATTGTGGGAGTTGATTTTGTGGCTGCTGTGAGGTATTTTTTTTGAAACCTCTAGAATGTTACATGCTTTTAATTCTACTGCTGTTGCTTTAGTTCCTAAGCAGCCCAACTCTTGTAGAGCCATGGATTTTAGGCCTATATCTTGTTGCTCAGTGTTTTATAAAACAGTTACAAAGATCCTAGTGAGCTGACTGATCAATTATTTCCCCAAGATGATAGCTCCTAACCAGTCAGCCTTTGTGAGGGGAAGGAAAATTGAAGATAACACCCTCTTGGCTCAAGAGATTGTTAGAGGTTATGGTAGGGGTTCCATCTCACCTAGGTGTGTAATTAAAGCTGACTTACAGAAAGCATTTGACTCCTTAAACTGGAAGTTCCTTCTTGCTGTTTTGAAAGGTTTAGGGCTACCTGAATAATTTATGAGGTGGATTGAAGCTTGTGTGATGAACTCTAGATTTTCTATTGTATTAAATGGAAGTCTAGTGGGATTTTTTAGAGGTAGAAGAGGTATCAGGCAGGGGGGATCCCCTATCCCCATACTTGTTTGTAATGGCCATAAATGTGCTCTCCAAACTCTTGGATGTGGCTGCTTTTGAAAATTTTTTCCAGTACCACCCTAAGTACAAAAGAGTGAATTTAACACACTTATGCTTTGCAGACGATTTGCTCATATTTTGTAAAGGTAATGTAGACTCAATAATTGGGGTGAGTTGTGTTTTGGAAAAATTTTATGAGATGTCAGGGTTGAGACTAAATGCTTCAAAGACTGAAATCTTTATTGCGGGTGCTAATGATGATATGAGGACTCTCGTGCATGAGGTTACTGGATTTAAACTAGGTTGTTTACCTGTTAGGTACCTTGGGGTCCCCCTTGTGCCTAGGAAGCTAACTGAGAAAGATTGTGTTAGTCTGGTGGAGAAAATCAAGGTAAAAATAGGGCTCTGATCTAACAGATGGTTGAGCTATGCAGGTAGATTGCAGCTAGTGAAATCTGTGTTACTGAGCATTACCAACTTTTGGTGTAGACAACTTATCCTACCCAAAGTTGTGATTAGAAGGGTGAATCAGCTCTGTGCAAGGTTTTTTTGGAAAGAAGGTGACATTCCAGCTAAGGGAGCTCGAGTGAGTTGGGAATGCATATGCTCACCTAAATCTGAGGGGGGGCTTAGGCCTAAAACAGTTAACATGCTGGAACAAGGCCTGCATGTTGCTACTGGTTAAAGAGCTTCTTATGGCAGAGATGTCACTTTGGGTTGCTTGGGTGAGATTTTACGTTTTTAAAGGGGTTGATCTCTGTTCTGTTGAAAGTAAACCATCTTTCAATTGGAGCATACGTAAAATCTTGAAGGTTAGAGAGGAAGTGCGACCTCTATTCTCGGGGATTGCAGACTGGGGGAAGGTTAATGCTCATTGGCTGTGGCAGGAGATTAGGGGGATGACAGTGAAGGTGGAATGGCACAAGGTTGTTTGGTTCCCTATGCATATTCTCAAGCACTCTCTCATTGCTTGGATGGCTATCCTTAACATATTACCTACGGCTGACAGACTTATTCGAAAGTTGCTTGGGGGATAATCACTCGACTGTGTAATGTTGACAGAACAGTGGGAAGCTGGGATGAGGAATTAAGATGGGCGATCTCTAGATTTAAGGGCAAAACTTTTCTTATTTTTATATTTAGAATAGCCTGGTATGCATATGTATATGGGAATAAGGAAATCATAGGCAATTTAAGGGTAACAACAGAGGTGTTGATAATATTGTGAATTGTATTAAAGAGATTGTTAGGATGAAATCTATTCGTATAGCCATAAAGAGTAGCGTAGTTAACAGGGATATTTGTTTAGTTTGGGGAATTAACTCCTCCTAGGAGGTGGGTGCTGTTTTTGGGCATTGTATTGTTGAGTTCTACTACTTTTTGGATAATAATATGAGGAATTTATTAAAAAAAAAAATGGCATCCCTGAACCTCGTTCATGGACGCCAATCTCTCCTTCATATTCCCGACTCCACCATGTTGATTCCAAGGCCACCTTCCCATCCCCTCTCTAATTACAGTTTCTCCACTTCAACTGGTAAGCAAAAGTTTCCTTCTTTTTCTCGTCCTTTCTCACTGTTCTTCATTATTCAAAAATGTTTATTGATGAAGTACAACTTCTTTGGACAAGACCCAAGTGATTGATATAGTTAATCGTTGCTCTCTCTTCTTTAATTTGTAAATTCATCTTCTACATTCTTGTTCTCTTTATGGTTCATGATAAGAAAACAGAACACTAAGTTTTAGTTTTTTTAAATGCAAATTCTTCAAATTTAAGCTGTAGTTTTAGTTATTGAGTGAAAACTGTTGTTATTTGAATGGTGGAAGTGTTTTCTATTTAGTTCAAGTTAGCTTTAAGGTTTTTTTAGCTCACAAGGTGTTTGTTCCTGGGTCCTTGATTTCGCTTGGGAAGCAGGGAGATAACACTTTCAAGATGGGGAAAGATTGATTCATTCTATGCATTCCCAGATTTTTCTTCTTCTGGAATTTAAGTTTTTTGAGCTCTTTCGATCATATGAGTTTTCTGTTTGAATGCTCTTTGAACCTGTCTTATCATGTTTCAGTTGATTTCGGGTCATCATTGTCTCTTCTTCCTCTAAATAAGTACAACTGGAGTCATTGTTTTCGAGTATTTACGTAGTCTTTGCAATTATATTTGTTTAATTTCTTGAAATCTACATTTGCATATTTAATTTTAATCTTCCACTGGTTTTCTTTTTCCCTAGTTAGGCAGAATATCTTTTAGGGTTATGCATTAATTCCTAGATATTTTGTGTTCGAGTAAATGCAGGCTTTCATACAAGAACCTTAACGCGTTTCTCTCCTGGCATCTTGGTGTGCAGAAATTGTTCTTTGAGAGGAGCTAAGAGCAATAGATCGAGAATTAGATCAGACTGCTTTAGTCAATTATGTGTACTTTTAGTCATGCTTTAGCTTTCTTTATCAGTGGATATGTTCGTTACCATGTGAATTTTCAGCATCGGTACAGCGTGTAACTGAGGAATTGACGGAGGATGAATCAAAGGATTCTTTTATCAGCGGAGATTCTATTCGTCAGTGGTTTCTTGATTTTTATGCTTCTCGTGGTCACAAGATTATTCCTAGTGCTTCCCTTGTGCCAGATGACCCAACAGTTCTACTGACAATTGCAGGAATGCTTCCCTTCAAGCCAATATTCCTTGGGAAGGTAATGGATAAGATCCTTAATGAATCCATTTTGAGATTTGCTAATATCTCTCGTCAAACGGGATAAAACTTTAAATTGGCATTATTTTGATTGTTTTACCTTGATGTGACGAAACTATCTCTTTATATTCAGATTCTCAGACAAGTACCTCGTGCTACTACTGCACAAAGGTATATACGCACAAACGACGTGGAGAATGTCGGCAGAACATCAAGAAATCATACATTTTTTGGAATGCTTGGGAATTTTTCCTTCGGAGATTACATTAAGAAGGAAGCAATCAAATGGTCATGGGAGCTTTCCACCAAGGGGTAAGCACGGATATAGTATTCCCTTTTGGATGCAAATTTAAGATAGGTCGATCTATTCATTGGTTTTCTCAAGGATGGTCGTTCCTTATCACACATTCAGTTTCTTCCATATGAAGATGAAAGTTGCTTGTGCTTACAGATTTGGGTTGCTACCTGAAAGATTATGGATAAGTGTGTACGAGGATGATGACGAAGCTTTTGAAATCTGGCACAACGAGGTAATCCAGGATGCATTAGGCACTTGTTAGAGTTTTTCTTTTATGAATGTTCCTGTCGTACATGTATCAACGTGTCTCTTCCATCGTGCCTGGTGTTCTAGAAGCTACAACTTTAACTTTGGATGGATTGGACTATGATATTTTACATGTTATGTTAAATGGTTTTGATGATATAATATTTCATCAGGTTGGCGTTCCCATTGAATGTATAAAAAGAATGGGTGAAGACGACAACTTTTGGATGTGTGGTGCTACTGGTCCCTGTGGTCCATGCTCTGAAATTTATTATGATTTTCATCCTGAGAGGGGAACTGCTGATGCGGTTGGTACTTACTCCAGACAATTCTTTTTATTTCTTTCATTTAGGAAGGTGGTTATTAAGGTTCTGTCAGCCATTGGTAAGGTTACTCGTTCCGGTTCTTTTGTTTCCCTTAACCTGGGTGAGTCATATGCAGGATCTCGGGGATGATACGAGATTTATAGAGTTCTACAATCTTGTATTCATGGAATACAATAAAAAGGATGATGGAACACTCGAGCCTTTAAAGCAAAAGAACATAGATACTGGCCTTGGCTTGGAGCGTTTGGCTCGTATTATTCAGAAGGTATTTATGATCTCTTTCTTTTCTTCTCATGTCCAACTAAAATCATATTTCACCGAAGTTATACCTCATTAGCATCATTTGTGAGGTTATATGCTTTGAAAATTAAAATAAGCTTTTTTCTCATTCTTTTTTTTGCAGGTTCCAAACAACTATGAGACCGACTTGATTTATCCAATCATAGAAAAGGCATCGACAATGGCTAATATCTCGTATCCCTCGGCAGATGAGCAAACAAAGTGAAATTAAAGGTAAAGTTTTCGGTTTGCTTGTAACAACCTTTGTTAGATTTAAGATATTGTTGCAAAAAAAGTTTCTTTGTTTATAATTATATCTCAGTTTTTAAAATTTTCTGTTGCTTACAGATGCTTACAGATTGTTGGAGATCATCTACGGGCTATAGTATGTCTCATATCGGATGGTGTTTTGCCATCAAATATTGGTAGAGGTTACGTGGTTCGACGGCTTATCAGAAGGGTTGCTCGAGCTGGCAGGCCCCTTGGAATAAAGGGGCTGCAGGAGCATTTTTACCTATAATTGCCGAAAAGTAATAGAATTAAGCAACCATATTGATTCAGATGTTAAGATTAAAGCGTCCTTGAGGAGCTGAAGAAGGAAGAGCTTAATTTCGTTCAAACTCTAGAGGGAGGAGAAACTTTACTCGGAAAGATGTTAGTGGATGCATTATCAAACGCCAATAAAAGTGGGACCGTGCCTTGCTTATCTAGAAAAGATGCATTTCTTTGGTACGACACTTTCGGATTTCCGGTGGAGTTAACCACAGAAATCGCTGAAGAACAAGGCGTTACTGTAGATATGGATGGTTTTGATATAGAGATGGAAAACCAAAGGTGCCTATCTCGGGCTGCACATAATGTTGTTAAACTTGCAGTTGAAGATGGTGCTAATCTTACGGATACTATAAACGAAACTGAATTTGTTGGATATGACACCCTTTCCACTCAAGCAGTAGTAGAAAGCCTCATGGTGAATGGGAGTCCAGTGATACAGGTTTCCGAAGAAAATGATGTAGAGGTCTTGTTGAACAGAACACCATTTTATGCGGAATCCAGTGGTCAAATTGGAGACCATGGCGTTCTATATGTTACTGGAAGTGAAAAGCAACATACAGCTGTTGTGGAGATTAAGGATGTCCAAAAATCCCTAGGTGACCTATTTGTTCATAAGGGGACTATCAAAGAAGGAATTCTGGAAGTTGGCAGAGAAGTGCAAGCTGCCGTGGATGCAAAACTGCAGCAGCGTACCGGCTTTTAATTGTGGCCTAGGTCTTTCTTTTGCAAAAATATATATATATATATATATATATATATATATATAGAGAGAGAGAGAGAGAGAGAGAGAGAGAGAGAGAGAATTAAACAAATTTCCCTATGGCTATGTGACTTTCAATGTCATAAGGACAATTACCCATATCATCTAACATAAACTATCATAAGTTGTTTTTCTTCTTTTCTTCTTTCAGGTCCATCATACTGCTACTCATTTGCTACAATCAGCACTTAAGAAATTAATTAGCCAGGAAATATCACAAGCTGGTTCGTTAGTGGCTTTTGATCGGCTCAGGTTTGATTTCAACTATGGCCATGCCCTTGCTGACTGAGCTTGAAGAGATTGAACGACTGATCAATGATTGGATCGAGGCTTCAACATTTCTTAAAACAAAGGTGATGCCTCTTAAGGATGCAAAAGAAGCTGGTGCCATTGCAATGTTCGGGAGAAATATGGCAAGCAGGTATGTGTCATTCTTCAGAATACCAACGCAGTTTATGCATGCATCGTTTAGCTCGTCTATGAATCATTTTCAGTTCATCTTTTGACAAGATTGCACCCATATACCCTAGCCATTTCTTTAGTACCATGAAATGTCCAGCTAGAACTTGGATGTTTACAGGCTTTGTACTTGCTAATAGATATAGTTCTTCCTAATTTTATAATACAGTAGGTAAGTCGTGGAAGTTCCTGGTGTATCCATGGAGCTTGGGTGGGACCCGCGTCATACGTCCGAAATACATGTGTTCAAAATAATCTCCGAGCGAGGGATTGCATCTGGGGTCAGATGTATAGAAGCTGTTGCCGGCGAAGCATTTATCGAATATCAATGTCAGGGAATCACAAATGAAGAACCTATGCTCGATGCTCAAGGTGAGTTGTGGTTATAACTTGAAACCTTCTCCCAACATGCTTCATTGTGAAAGATTA